TGTGCTCACAACAAGGAGCATATATATATATACGGAAAGCCAAGCGACCTTGAAATCACTCAAGTCAACAATGGCATCATCCAAGATAGTGAAAAATGTCTTGACCTATTAAAGGATCTGACATCATACTTCACGATGAACCTGCAATCCGTTCCCACGACAGTCGAGTCTACGTAACCGGAACGGACCCGGATTTATTCCGGCCAAGGACTGTCAACTCGGCAGAATTCTGTCGCTACAACAACAACAATAACATGAACCTGCAATGGGTTGCAGGATATAATGATATCCCTGGTAACTGCGAAGCAGATGGACTAGCCAGAACAGTTACCACTTTGCAACTAACCCCCAAAAAAAGAGAGAACTTTTATGCCTCTGGGTACTTGCAAACACTAAATCAGCGAACATGCTGTATATCTAGCTGAGTCTCGGTGGAGACAAACAACAACTTGCTCTACTAGCAGACGAACGTGGCAGGATTGGAGCGTGAGTCGCACAAACCGATTACTAAAATTCAAAAAGAATGACATAAGAACTCTGATAGGAGTACTAACAGGTCACTGTCTAATTGGTAGACATGCCAGCTAGGTCTACTTTACAACGACTATTGTAGAAGCTGACAGGAAGAAAAGAAGAGGAAACTGTAAAACATCTTCTATGCGAATGAAGGGCTCTATACAGGAAAAAAATCGCAACTATCGGTCGGGGATTCCTTGACGACGTATCGGAAGTTGCACATAAAAACTATTTGTACTGATAAGCTAAATCAGAAGAGCAGGTTGGTTCAGAGAGGAGACGAGAGAGTGAGGGAACATTAGTCCCGGTGGTATCACAATGGGCCTCCTATAGGCCTAGGTGCGTCGTTAGACAGCTACGCTACCTACCTACCTACCTTCGAATATAATAGGTTATATACATATAAACATAAATCTTCTTATAATTTTATGCAATTTCATATCCTATATTGTACATAAAAAATAAAGACGTTTTATATAGAAAATCTGTGAAGTCGGATTTTTCAATTCCCCGCCCTCCACTTTCCTCTCGATGTGATGATTTACAGCGCGGCAGATGTGGCAGCACTGTGTGTCTATGGCTACTGCGATCACCTGCTCCAAATAACAGTTTTATATCTTAATTAGGTGCTTATGTTATGGCACTTTACAGGTTTTCGCTTAATTCCGTTTTAGGGGTGTGGCAATGATACGATTACGCCCATCTGCAATACCAAGTTATCGCTTGCACGCACAGACAGACGGACGGACAGTCACCCGGATTTCAACTCGTCTTGTCATCCTGATCTTTTATACCATATATACATAATTCCATATCTATTTCGATTAGTTTTAGATGATACAAGCAACCTTTAGGTGGACAAAACTATTATAATTTGTGCAACATGTTGTGAGAGTATAAAAAGTTGTGTTTATGAAATTGTCCGGTTATGGGAGGCATATAAGCATTTTACTTTTTACACAATTTTCGTTATATGCACAATAACAAAAGTTGACAAATGATAAGTGTTGCCATATCCTCTTTAACATTGCTTTTTTTTGGTTAGTTTTCCTTTCTGCATTGGCGACCTTCGGCCGCGCTTGAAATTAACCCTGGCCCATCCGAGGTCATCTAACCGGAGGTCCAGGAAACGAGCTGTTTCGACGGGGTCGGACCATAGGGAAAAGGGTGTTAAATGAGTGGGGTTTGTTGGGCATGTAAAGAGGTGGTTAGTGTCATGCGGAGATTCATTGCAAGCAGGACATGTGTTTGGTATGTCTATTCTGGATAAGTAGGAGTTTAAGCTTTAGCTACAATATCCAGAACGAAGTTGCCCGAGGGTCACTCTGGTTTCGCGAGGCAACTCGCGCTCTACGTCTGCTATGGGTGGTGGTTTGACTCGTAATACGCCATTCACTGAGAGGGAGTCGGTGAAGGTGTTGATAGCTCCCCTGGGAATGGCGGTCAGTGCCTGTCTGAAGTTCGTTGCGTCCGAAGTCCGGTCGGCGTACTGTCTAATGTCGTCGACGTAATCAAGAAAAGACCTTTTGATGTTCCTAGGAGGCGGCTCTGCTACAAGCAGTTGTTTCAATGAAAACATCCCAGCAGAAACTGCTTGGAGAGGAGCTCGTTATGTTCCTTAACCGGAAGCATAGGGAGTGTGAGTGTTCAATTGGGGACATCAGGCGGTCGTTATTTCTTCCACATACTACCTATTTCTGCATTGGCCGACCCTTTTATATGAAATAAGTGAGTTGAAAAAATAATTAGTGAAGTTATTGGATAAAATAGTGAAAAATATAAGTGTAAAGTTCATTATAAATGCATTCTTTTAATCATTGATTCTTTAATGTAAGTGTCTTAAAAACCATAAGTCAGCGCCAGCTATATATAACATATATATATATTCTTAATTTGGAGAATTTATTTTATCTGCCTATATCATTTTAAGCCCGAATGAGGGGGGATGCTTTTCTAAACCTGAAAATAAAACGAATTATATAATTTATCCTAACTAGATCATTCGCAGTTAGGGAAAACCTTAGAATACCATCCCAGGATTTAGGTAATAAAATGGGTATGGACGGATAGAGGAGAAACTTTTGAAATTTTTTGTATATTTTAAGTACGTCTTTTTTGGATTTAAAATGAATTTTACACTTTTGTAATCACTAACACTACACTTATTCGTTTAAACATATTCATTTTACATTATATTCTGTAAAAATAGCTTTATTTTAATATTTAAATTATTGTTCAATTTCATTAATTCACACAATGACAAAAGGGTTACAAAATGACAAATAACTAGTGTTACTTTATCGACATCTTTTGTAAATGAACTGAAAGAAATAAAGTAAATAGATTATACCCCAAATACAGGAATCCAACACCTAAAAAAAATATAATATATATATATTAAGAAATTATTCCAATATAAAAAAACGGTACAGTTTGTACTTTGTTTTAAAAGTTGCAGTTGTTGTTGTTGTTGTAGCGGTTACCTAATCCCCGTTTGGGTGATAAATTCTAGATTCGTTGTCGTCGAGGTCATCTAACGGAAGGCCCAGGAAACGAGCTGTTTCGACGGGGTCGGACCATAGGGAGAGGGGTGTTAGATGAGTGGGGTTTGTTGGGCATGCAAAGAGGTGTTTAGTTTCATGCGGAGACTCATTGCATGCAGGACATGTGTTAAAGATAAGTTTTAGATTAAAAGTTGCAGTAATTATATCCGTTAGAGAACATTCATTTTGAAGATGATGTTATACCCTCTATGACATTATTTTTTCGCATAGAACTTTATTTTGTGTAGCGGCCTTTTGTCGCGCTTCAACAAAATAAGCCTGGTCAGTCCAAGACCGGGGTTTATCAAGTGAAGGAAACTAAAGATTTATTAGTGTCCATCAACAAACCCCTGCGGGCAGGGGATAGAATATGCCCGCGGCAAGGCATGCCTGTCGTAAGAGGCGACTAAAAGCCAATATGCACTATGACTGTTATTATATTCTTTGCCCAGTAATATCAGCATAGTATATGGAGTGATAGTGCTATAATACTCAGCTTGAACTGATATTAGAAACACTTTAAATGAAAAAGCGAATAAAAAGACATTTGAAGTTCAAGCGACAAATGTCACCAGTCATTTGAGTAATGGGTAGCTCAACTGGCAGTAGTTTAGGCTACGCAGTCTGACCGGAGACTTTCCGGTACCACGGGGAGCAGAAAGCCCTTGGACTTCTGTTCAATCTGCTCATTGGGTTCGGCCCTTTGGGGAGTATCGTGGTGGCTGTGGTTTAAACCTAAATGCTGGAAGAACTGAATTTTCAGTTCGAAAAAAGAAGTTGCACAAGCAACTGGGTGCCGTACCCGAAAACGGAAGAGGTTTTAGGTCGGCCTCGAATCATACCAAGATGGTAGTGTGGACCCAGACACACTGCCACTGGTATCCAAATAATACTTGCAAAAAGCTCGTATTGTTTGGGGCGCTTATCAAACGCAGGATTTGATACGCCGTGCTCTTGAGCACCGTCAGGTAAGGCCGTCGCCGGCAGGTACTCACGTAAATCTACAACGCAAGTTGTCCATCAACAATTATGGTTCCTGTATTTAGGATATAATCTCTCTTTTTTATTTTATTTTTTCTTCGTTTGCAAAATATATTAGTATGGCAACACTGGTTTTTTGACAATTACAACCCTTTTGTTATTGTCAAAATTAATAAAATTGAAGAATGATTTAAATATTGAAACAAAGCTACTTTTGCATCATATAATATAAAAAAAATTTCTAAAACGAATTAGTGAAGTGTTAGTGGATATAAAAGTGGAAAATATAAGTGTATAACTCATTCGAAATGGGAAAAATGCGTACTTTAAATAGTCGAAATTTTGAGCTTTAAACCCAAATATCTCGAAAACTATAAGTGTCCCGCGGCTATATCTATATATATTCTTGATCTGGAGGATCTCCTCTATCCGCCCATACCCATTTTATCCCCGAAAGCGTGGGACGTTATACTAAAGTTTTTCCTGTACTAGTCACATATGAACCTTCTACTGAAGAATTATTCCGACACAGTTTATCATTTCTCCAAATTGTTTGTACAACCGGTACATCACAAAAAAGTCTCTAACCAGTTCTTCGAATTCACTTTTTTTTTGGAAATTTGATTTGCTTCTGATAAGAAAACAGATAAAATGTTTACATTAGTATTGAAATGAAAATTTTTAATATTATCATTTACAAAGTTGAGTTTAAATCACTCTAAGTAAAATGTTGATCATAATACTTACAAAAGCAGTACCTAGAATGTCTTCAATAGTATTTTCAAGAATATCATCCGTTTAGATTTCTACACTCTTTTAATTATTAATGGAAAGCTAATATATTTGGAACCCTTATTGTTTATTAGTTTTCATACTTTACACAATTGATTACAGAACGAGGAAGAATTCTAGCCCTTCACGATTGAAACTAGATTTCGTACTATATTTGAATTTACCTACACGTTCTTCACGTCCATCAAATTAACAAAATATTATTCACTTATAACTTCCGATATGGCTGATTTAAACACTTTCTCTAACTTGCATATAAAACAATATTTGGGAAGAATATATACAACTATGGCGTGATCGTAATATATAAATATCAAAATAATGCTAAACAAATACACCGACAACTCACTCCAAACGACCGAGTAAAGTTTTAAGTAATAACCATGTAGGGATGGCAAACTCGATTGCGATTATACTCAAGAATCGATTTTTCTCATAAAGTTAACTATTTTCGGAGTCGGCCTTTACTCTCCGAAATCGATAAAGATTCTCGACATGCGGTTTTTGGATGACTAGTTTCGAGTTCTACGTACCATTATAATACCACAACAAATAATAAAAAACCATACAAATATATATTTATCTATTTCCGGTTCTAAATATTAATTATTTAATATATCAGTTAAAGTTTTGGCCTAACCGATTTATGCGGTAGCTGTCCTTGTTTATTAACCGTTGAATACACAAACAGCATATCCCTAAATGCGCATATATACAAATGTTGAAATCACACGTACACAAGAGTTTCGGTTAGAATTGTCAAATGGGCCTTAGATACTCATAGAGACTTCACCAAAAACTCTGGTAGTTGGCTTGAAGAGTATTTCTTTCCCAAAAATTACTTTCAAATTAGCTCACGCAACCCTGTCACACCATACGCAATACCAATGCTGACAACCATCGCAAAGTGGTAGTAGAGAAACTATCAGCTGATCAGATTTTAAAAAAGCGACAGCTGAGAGGTATCAATGTAGAAATGTCAAGTCCGCTTAGGGGTTGAGTTTCTATTCACATCTTAGATGTTTGATCGGCAAATGGTTGTATTTTGTTATTTTCTTTTAACATATGAAAATGTAACGAAAATACAGAATATATGTTAAACTATAGAATATTTTCAATATAAAATCAGTTTATTTTAATATATATCCTTAAAAATGCGACTATTATTAGAAAATTCCAGAATAATTAAGATATTTTTTTTGTTTGCTTTTTTTTGACTGTGGTAAATTAATAAATATTTATCACAGAAAAATGTTGCGTAAACTAATTTTGAATTCTGTTTAGGAAAGGAATATATCTGCCGTATTTAATATTTCAAAGATATTGGAACTTCAACAAATAATTTATTTAAGAAGTCTATGTATTCAAAAACTAAACTTAAAACTATACAATAATACTTTAATTTTTTATGTAAAGAGTTATAATAGAGAATTGTACATATTTTCATCTGCTGAAATACAGAGACAGTTACCTGGTATGCCTACCGCATTTTATACTATAAAAATATTGCAACTTCAACATATAATTTATTTTAAAAGTCTATATATTAAAATACCAAACTAATAACTATATAATAATATAGTAAGTTATTATGTAAAGAGTCGTAATAAAATATTGTACATATTTTCATCGCTAAATGCTGAAATGTTTCTTGATATATCTACAATGATAAATTTTGCTTTATTATTTCAAAGAATTATTATGACTTGTATATCAATGATAAGTTTTGCTTTATTTATTATATGAATTAATATGACTCATAATATCAAATTCTGTTACAATAGTTATTTTTTTCCGTCCACTCTTAGGTTAATTGAACTTTCAGTTTGTCAATTAAAAGTTACTTAAACGCTTAAAAATACGCCGCATATTTACCGATATCAACATGGTATAATGCCATATTTTGTTTACAGCATTAAACATCATTCTATAAACAAAATTAAAAATATTTATATACAAGTGAGGAAGGGCTAAGTTCGGATGTAACCGAACATTTATACTCTCGCAAAGTCAAATGGTATACTCGTTTGAGATTTCTTTGTGGATTGGCTGATATTTTCGGTAGAAGGTCAACTATAGGCACTGGGGTCCACATATTTAGTACTTAGGGGCTTGAACAGTGTTGGTTCGATTTAGACAATTTTTGATATGCATAGTGGAAAGTGGAAGATTCAGATGGAATTGAAAATGGTGTTATATGGGAAATAGGCGTGGTTGCAGGCCGATTTCGCCCATTTTCGCGCTATGACAGAAAAATATGAAAAGAACGTCATGCACCGAATTTGGTTAAAATCGGTTAAGCAAATCTCAAGATATGGGTTTTCACCTAAAAGTGGGCTGAGCCACGCCCACTGTCTAATCTTGAACGCGGTTCCTATAAAGTCATCTTATACCATTCCAGAGTTAAAATTTAATGTCTCTGGCGTGTTTAGTGCTTGATTTATCGCGCTTTTAGTAGTTTTTAACAGTACCGTTATATGGGGAGTGGGCGGAGTTACCACCCGATTTCAACTATTTTCACACCGTCAATACTAGTGCTAAAAACATTTGCTTCCATTGAATTTTGTTATTATAGCATTAGCGGTTTAGAAGATATGCACATTAAACCTATTAGAGGCGGGACCACGCCCACTTTAAAAAAAAAATTTTAACTACAGATGCCCCACTCTAATGTGATCCTGTGTGCCAAATAACAGTATTGTATCTTATTGCGGAGCTTAGTTATGGCGATTTATTTGTTTTTGATTAATGGCGTTTTGTGGGCGTGGCAGTGGTCCGATTACGCCCATCTGCAATACCAACCGTCTCACGGTAACAAGAAACATGTCTACCAAGTTTCATAGAGATATCTCAATTTTTACTCAAGTTACAGCTTGCACGGACGGACAGACGGACGGACGGACAGACAGTCACCCGGATTTCAACTCGTCTCTTCATCCTGATCATTGATATATATATAACCCTATATCTAACTCGATTAGTTTTAGGTGATACAAACAACCGTTAGGTGAACAAAACTATTATACTGTGTAGCAACATGTTGCGAGAGTATTAAAATGACTAACCCGCATAATATTATATAATTAGACCCTCATTGCTAAGCAATAACCCTACACCCACTCAAACAACCACTCCTAATTCTGCTCCCCAAGTATCACCCGAATTAAATAATTTAATAAAAAACATGGTGACTCAAATTCTTCAAACAGACGGACAAAACATAATCCAATCCTTTTTAAATAATAATCTAAACCAAAACATTACAGACCAGACAATAGATGAACGATTTAGAAATGACATGAGTGAATTGGACAAAATTCCCGACGTGGTACGTTCATTAAGAGATTTTTCAGGGAACGCTTCAGAATTCAGTTCCTGGAAAAAAAGCGTAGAACGTATCCTTAGGATATATGAACCTACGAAGAGAACGCCCCGATATTTTGGTATACTAAATGTTATTAGAAACAAGATAATAGGGAAAGCAGACATAGCACTAGAATCGTACAACACACCTCTAGACTGGACGGCAATATCTCGTTGCCTAACAACCCACTATGCTGACAAACGAGACATAGGTACATTAGAATACCAAATGACCTGTCTTTTCCAAGGTAGATTATCCATCAACGAGTTCTACCAAAAAGTATATTCGCATCTATCTTTAATTCTTAACAAGCAATACATACTAGAGAAAATTTTATGATTGTAGCAAATAGACGGAAAATTCAACTCCATCCATATAAGGCTCAAGATGTTAATTCAATCCAAATCCGTGATGAGCATATGAAATCTTCGGAAAAGAACGAAATTAAACAACTTATACAAAAGCACAAACACTTACAACTATAACACCTACAACTTACACACTATACAACAAAAGTAGTAGCAGAAATCAGAACAAATTCCGACACACCTATTTATTCAAAATCTTACCCATATCCGATTAGTTTAAAACAAGAAGTAGAAAAAGAAATAAATAAATTACTAGAGGACGGTATTATTAGGAAATCCAGATCACCATATAACTCACCCATATGGATTGTACTCCAAAAAGACGATGCATCAGGCGAGAAGAAATTCAGACTGGTTATTGATTACAGAAAACTAAATACGGTTACTATTGCAGACAGATATCCCATACCAGAGATAAACGAAGTACTGTCACAATTAGGGGAAAATCGAGTATTTTCGGTAATCGATTTAAAAAATGGTTTCCATCAAATTCCTCTTAAGGAATCTGACATGGAGAAAACAGCGTTTTCTGTGAACAACGCAAAATATGAGTTCACTAGATTACCATTTGGACTAAAGAATGCCCCATCCATATTTCGAAGGACATTAGACGATATACTCAGACAACACATTGCAAAAATATGTTACGTCTATATAGATGACATAATAATATTTAGCAAAGACGCAAAATCACACTCAGAACATATAGACACAATTTTCGATACACTCCGTAAAGCTAATATGAAAGTTCAAGCTCACAAATGTGAATTCTATAAAGATCAAGTAGAATTCTTAGGATTTATAATTTCATCTGCTGGAATTTCCACAAACCCTTCTAAAGTAAAAGCCATAGAAAATGTCCCATATCCCAAAAGACTCAAAGACCTTAGATCATTTTTAGGACTCTCAGGATACTATAGACGCTTCATAAGAGACTACGCAAAATTAGCAAAACCACTTACGAACTTACTTCGTGGTGAAGAAGGCAGAATTTCGAGAAATATTTCAAACAAAATGAATATTCAATTAACAGAAGTATCCAAAGAAGCATTTGACAAAATTAAATCCGCTCTTATTTCAAAAGACGTCATACTTCAATATCCGAATTATAATATAGAATTAATTCTTACAACAGACGCTTCAAAATACGCAATAGGCGCAGTACTAGAACAAAACGGTAAACCCATTACTTTTATTTCTAGAACCTTAAACAAAACAGAAGAAAACTATGCAGTTAACGAAAATGAAATGCTTGCCATACTCTGGGCACTCTATTCTCTTAGAAATTATCTGTATGGTCAAGCTAAAATTATAATACATACTGATCATCAACCATTAACCTATGCACTCAGTAACAAAAACAACATTTCAAAACTAAAGCGATGGAAATCTATTCTAGAAGAATATAATTATGAATTAAAATATAAACCTGGAAAATCCAACATAGTAGCGGATGCACTCTCTAGACCATTTCAAATAAACTCATTATCAATAGCTACAAACTCAGATGACAGCTCATCTCATAATTTAATTCCCTCAGTAGAAGCCCCAATTAATGTTTTCAAAAACCAAATCTTCCTATTAATAGGACAAGAAAATAGCTATCAATTTAAATTACCCTTCCCAACTTACCATAGACATATAATAATCAAACCAAATTACTCAACAGAAGACTT